CAAAAAATAGTTCACTCTGTGGACGGCCTCTGACTGTTAAGTTAAGATAAGATCCACAAGATTGTAACAATTCTGGACTGCTGGATCTCTCCAAAAACTCATACACCCAGCCTGCCACGCAATTATCATAGGATCGCCAACAGTTCAATAGTGGGTGGGTGTCTTTGTGGGCTGCACAAGACAAATATGCATACAGTGTGTATGTGTGTGTGGGCATCCAACGACCAGGCGGGAGTCTGGGGACGAGACCTACGATCCTATAGTTCCGCTGCTTGTCGGATGAACAGGGTTTTGCCATTCTTGCGTGAACCCTTCGGAGGAAAAGCCTTGCTGCCTTCACCAGTGGAAAATGATGCCTGAGGTAGGAGCTGAGGCTCGTTAACATGAGGCCGAGTGACCTCCGGCCGCCCAGGGCTGGGCAAAGAAGGATGGCTGAATCTCGTACAGTGGCAAGAAGAAAAGCACAGCATAGGCAGATGGACATCTCGAATCGGTTATTACGGTAACCATCTTGTCAGCTTTCGAAAAAGGTAAGCCTTCAAAGGTATGACAATATATGGGAGAAAACTGAAACTCTTCTTTGTTGGGCCTTCTTTTCACGATTTTTCCCGTTCCGTTATGAGGCTTTGTACTATTTGGTAGCGTCTATGTGAAATTATCTTCGGATATCTGTGATTATAAAAATCGGAACTGGCTAAATGCCTGGTTAATGCAGGACAGATAGGATAATACAAGAATAATAAAATATAACAGAAAAAGAGACCTAATCGGATAATAGCCTTATAACAGAAGATATATAACAATATACTCAGAAGAGAAAAGAATATAATAAAACAGGACAAATAGAATGCTCGTAAACAGTATTCTGCGAGATTAGGAGACTACAAATCTAAGCCTAAAATAAGGGAGACTATAGAAACACACAAACCAGCCATCATACGGATTAGAAGGAAATGAATATAGGAAATAGTGGGAATGATTTGGGCCTGTTGGATGAGCCTCAAGAGATATGGCACGAAGAATCGCTGAGCAAGAGCCTTGAAATGGATTATGGCCCTCATGGCTCGCATGACACAAGAACATTGCATGCACACAGCACATACGCAATCTCACAGTTAAGCGAACGTCAATTCGACATAACCAAAGTAGAGGCAGCAATATCTTGCTCTTCATATACAAACATAATAGTTTGTTGACGTTGGGATAAAGCTGTGATCACCTTCGCATTTTATTTATGCAGTATTTTCACATATCTTCAAGCAGCTGGGGTAGGCATGAAGAGGCCAAACAAGGTATAAGAAGAGAAAGCTAGGTTGAATAGGAGAATATGATTGTAGCCAGTCATCTCTTCTTAGTTCAGTGTATTGGTGTGATGTCTGTCACGATAAGACAGAAAGATGAGTAGAGAACTACTTAGCATAATACACTCCAAAACCATACTTATACACGAAAAATCCTCATTCAATTTCCAGTGGCATCAATCCACGAATCCTTTCGATGAGAGTGATCCGAAAGCAGTCCGAAAAGCGAAAAGAGAATACTAAAACACGGAATAGTACAGCAAGAATTGTGCTCCGGGCTGGAAATGATCTCGATCTCGTACAGATCTGTTCAGCCCCACAAGCAGTAGCGAAATTTGGTGCATGTTGCCTTCTTTGGTGTGGCTCAATCGGTCAAAAATTTATGCCTGTCGAGGCGATTCTTGTATCAATTGGGCGAACATCTTCTCATTGTTAACCATATTTTTCTCCAAACGCACCTACTGAAGTGGGACCTGGCCTTCCAGGCAATATGTGAGCACTGAGCATCGGCATCATAAAGGAAGGGGCGAGCAGTGAACAAAAAACTCGGAGAAGCGTCGAAAAGAAAAGGGGTTTCGAAGAATCCCTCATTGAATTAATGCCATTTTATCTTAACTTTATTCGAAGGTTATTCTCACCTTCCAGTTAGGACTGTTGAGTTGCGTCAAGCAGACTCGGTGCGTGCCTATTGAGACACTGATCTATTCGTGTTGAGCTTTGGTCGCTTCCAATATGAAAGCATTCTGTAGGAGACTTTAGCAACACAAAGACAGTCCACATGACACACAAAAGCTAGGCAGGGATGGAAACAAGCCTCACGATAACGAAGCAAAGAGTTAATTGAACAAATCCACAGCCTTAACCGTCCAAAGGTGATCCTCTGGTACGTAAACGTGTAGCCGAGATCCAAGCTATCCAATTAATCAAACAAGTCATCACGATTGAGCAACAAGAAGTCGGCAGAATTGTGAAGTGTCATCGGTTATGTCCAAGCTTTGCTGTAAGACTTGTTTAAATAATAATTTCTTCTTCTGAACTGTATGATCTAAAACTCTTATTCAAGTTGGACGAAAGTCAAGCACTTTTTTACAAAAAAAGCATTCTTAACATAATCAAATATTTACTCGACTGGAAGACAAAGAGACACGACAGCATTTCAGGGTCTCAATTGAACTTGCCAACAAAAACGTGCAGATTTTTGATACAGCACAAAAAATGAACCGTTGAAGCGAAGAAGCAGAAAAGCGAAATGGATCAACACGAATTATATTTGCCGGGTTTCTAGCCCAGAGTAGAGCAGAGTCTTACGCCAGTGCCCCTTCGCCATCAACCACTTCATCAACAGTTTCGATGAACCGATGGCATGAGGATGAGTGCTATTCATTGCTTTTGTGTGAGATGCAAAAGTGTCGAAGACATGTAGTGGTTAACAAGACTGCTCCTCGGACGAAGCAACTAGGACCAACAGAGTTGAATTCTGCAAGTGTATGATAACAGAAGGGCTAACAGCGTCTATATTTACTTAAATGAGCAGATCAACAATGGAGAGATAAATCGTTTTGTGATTTTTCTATTTAACTGTCTATTAATAGGTGTTTTATATCAAATGGATAAATATAGGGCATCTAAAGTCTTTTATAACGTTAAGGTAAGCTATTTACTCTTG